AAAAAAAAAAAAAAAAAGAAGAAGAAAAAACTGGTTGAGGGTTACAGTGACTCTGAGCACAAGACTGCCATCTGGTGGTAAAATTAAACAAATTAAACACATGTCTTTGGTGTTGATGGCCTTTGCCTCCTGGTTGTTAGATGCCATGCATATGAAATGACTTATCATTTACATGAAATCTGATGTCAGACTATGAAGTCATTATGGCTGCATGCCTCATCAGCGTGTGTTCATGTAATGCTGACAGGCAGTGTTGAGGTAAGTATGTTAAAGCATGATGGAGAACATTAGTCTTTAATGACTTCCTCTTGCATTCTACTACTAAATGCAATATTTGGTATTCAGTATGTATGAAGTCTATCTAAACTTGGTTACAGAATGTAATAATGTGAGCATTAACGAGTATTTATTTAGGTAACTAACTGAAATCATAGTGTGTAAATTCCTTCTGATTACCAGATTTTCTTTATTTTTTTCTTGATGTTTTTAGCATCCCGACCGCACTATTCCTGTCATCATCATAGGGATACTTGTTTTTCTTCCGGGATTTTACCATTTGAGAATCGCCTACTATGCTGCAAAGGGTTACCGGGGTTACTCCTATGATGACATCCCAGACTTTGGCGACTGAACCAAATACCATCCAATCATCCCCTATTTTTCCTCATTGTGTATCTTGGTGCCTGCTGTTTCCTGACTGAATGTATGTATCAAAGAGTAAAACCATATAATTTTAGGATAGATATCTGTATTTGTCTGGGTGGGCTTACTGAAAGATTTATGGTCTGTGTGTGTGTGTGTGTGTTTGTTTTGTTTGTTTTTTTTTCTCCTAACTTTCTTCCTAAAATGTGGCTTGTGTGTTCACATATCTGCCAAAGCTTTACAGAAGTTAGAGACTTTACATATATATGCAGCTTTATTAATATTAAAACACTCAGTGACTGGTGGATATCAGTCCATCTGCTTACCTGAAACAGCACATCAATGTTTTTGCTGTTACGCACCTCACTACATACATTAAGAAATGATCAGTGAGTATAGATTTTGACAGATGCCTTTAATTTACTATTCCTAGAGTGCACGACTGAGAATCGGTGTGATTATTGTATAGTACTTTAATGATGTACAAATAGGCATCTTG